TTTTTTTTCTTTTATTGCTTGTGCTTTCAGTGTCACGTCTAAGAAACCATTGCCTCCTCCAAAGTCTTGAAATTTTATGCTTATGTCTTCTTGTAAGAATTTTTTTTATTTTAGCTCTTACATTTAGGTCTTTGATCCATTTTGAGTTAGTTTTTGCCTATGGCTTGAGGTAGAGGTCTTCTTCATTCTTTTGCATGTGGATATCCATTTGTCCCATTTGTGAGAAAACTATTCTTCCCCATTGAATTTTCTAGTCACCCATCTTAAAAATAAGTTGCCAGTAACTGTATGAGGTTTATTTCTGAATTCTCAATTCTATTCCATTAATCTATATGTCTTTCCTTATGCTGGTACTTATGCCTGTCATGATTATTGTAGCTTTGTTTTAAGTTTTGAAATTGGCAAGTGTGAGTCCTACAGCATTGTTTTTCTTTTTCAAGATTGTTTTTGCTATTGTGGGTTACTTATGTTTCCATATGACTTTTAGTATTAGCCTGTCAGTTTCTGCAAAAAAATGACTGAATTTTTATAGGTGGGCTGGCCAATTCAGTTGGTTAGAGCATGGTATTGATAACACCAAGGTTCAGGGTTCAATCCCTGTACTGACCAGCTGCAAAAATTAAAAAATAAAAAATTGAATTTTGATGGGCATCTATTTGGGAAGTATTGCCATGTTAGATGATATTAAGTCTTCAAATCCATGAACATAGGATGTTTTTCCACTTATTTAGGTGCTCTTTAATTTCTTTTGACAATGTTTTGTGGCTTTTAGTGTACAGGTCTTTTTTTTTTTTTCCTTGCCTAATTGGTTAAGTATTTTATTCTTTTTCATGCTGTTGTAAATGGATTTGTTTTCTTAATTCCATTTTTGGATTGTTTATTAATAATGTATAGGAATGTAACTGATTTTTGTGTACTGATCTTATATTCTGCAACCATGCTGAATTCATTTATTAGCTCTAATAATTTTTTGTGGATTACTTAGAATTTTCTATATACAAGATCATGTCATCTGCACATAGAGATAATTTTATTTCTTTCTTTCCAATCTGGATGTTTTTTTCCTTGCTTAATTGATGTGGCTAGAACTTCTAATGCAGTGTTGAGTAGAAGTGGTGACAGGAGATACATGGAGATAATTTTATTTCTTTCTTTCCAATCTGGATTTTTTTTTCTTGCTTAATTGATGTGGCTAGAACTTCTAATGCAGTGTTGAGTAGAAGTGGTGACAGGAGACATCCTTGTCTTTTTCCTGATCCTAAGAAGAAAGCTTTCGATCTTTCACCATTAAATATGGCATTAGCTGTGGGTTTTTCATAGATACCCTTTATCAGGTTGAGGATATTTGTCTCTGTTCTTAGTTTGTTGAGTGTTTTTATCATGAAAGGATGTTGTCAAGTGCTTTTTCTGTGAAAATTGAGATGACCCTGTGATGATGTTCTTTATTCTGTTAATTGGTATATTACACTGATTTTTGTGTGTTGAATCAACCTTGCATTCTTGGGACGTCTCACTTTTTATATGGTTTATGTTGATTTGTTGAGGATTTTTACATCAGTGTTCATAAGATATGTTTGTTGATCTGTAGTTTTCTTGTGATGTGTTTAGTTTTGGTATCAGGGTAATACTAGCCTTGTAGGTTGAGTTGGGAAGTGTTCCCTCCTCTTCTGTATTTTAGAAGAGTTTGTGAAAGATTTGTATTAATTCTTTCAATGTTTGGTACAATCCAATAGTAAAGCCTTCTAGGCCTGAGCTTGTCTTTGTGGCAAGAATTTTGATAACTAGTTCAATCTCTTTATTTGTTATATATTCGGATCTATAGATAGATAATAGATTTGTTATCTAATCAGATTTTCTATTTTTTTCTGAATCAGTTTCTATAGTTTCTGTCTTTCTAGGAATTTTTCCATTTCATTTAGGTTATCTAATTGTTGCATATGGTTGTTCAAAGTATTCCCTAATAATCCTTTCTATTTTTGTAAGATTGGTTGTGATGACCACACTTTCATTTCTGATTTTACAAATTTGAGTTTTCTGCCTTTTTTACTTGGTCAGTGTAGCTAAAGGTTTGTCAATTTTGTTAATCTTTTCAAAGAACCAATTTTTGGTTTCATTGATTTTCTCCATCATTTTTCTATTCTGTATTTCATTACCACTCCAGTCTTTATTATTTACTTCTTCTGTTTGCTTTGGTGTTAGTTTGCTCTTATTTTTCTAGTTTTTTAAGGTGGAAGT